GGAAGTCTCTCGGATGAGAGACGAAACGTTTCTACATTTTTTTGTTGTTTTGCTTTGTTTTTTTGGGGGTTTTTTATGTCCAGAGGACCAGATTTAACTTTTTTGGGCATATAATCAATTATTTCTTGATGCATGTTCAATAATCCAGGTAGAATAATCTAACAAGGTTAAGTCAGGGCCTCTGGACCTCTCTCGTAGAGATAGAGGAGGATAGAGAGATATCGCTGATAGAGAGGAACGCTGGTTTGAGAGAGAAGCAAAGGAAGCCATCTTTGTGAAGACAACCTGTCCATCGTTAAGTGTGTGTGTGTGTGTGTGGTGGTGGTGGTGGGGTGTTCCTCCGTGTTCAACTGTCAGACTGCGTTTGATGCAGGACCTCAGAGTGAAGAAGTCTTTTGGATGAAATGTTTCAACAAAGAAGAATCTGTCCAGAGGACCTGACTTAACCTTGGTAGATAATCAATTATTGTTTTTCCAACCACACTTTTTAAACAAACCTAAAAACTGCAAACCTCAACTATCAATAAACTCAAGTGGATTTACAGAGAAAAAGTCCAAAGTCACTTCTTTTAAACAGACTTTGAAATTGTGGTTTGCTCTGCTTAAAAAGTTTTAATAAGTCCTCAGATATTACTATTATTATTATTGCTATTACCGCATCGTAGAAATAATTTATTATTATAAAATTCTCCCTTTTAGTCTCAAGTAAGTGAATGTTGATAGTAGAAGAATGCTCCTGTTTTAGAGACTTGATGTTTTTCACATTCAGGACAAGATAAAGTCCTTCCTCGTTCAGTTCTAAAGTTGTACACATCAGGACATAACAATACAGACTGTCTTCAGTAAAATGCAGTGCAAAGGCTGAGTGCCGGATGACTGCTGAAATTGCTGAGAAGCCAAAACAGAGTTTTAAAGTCTTAAATGAAAGAAGGACAGTAAAAGACTAGCCAAATGCTAAAGTAGTTAAAAGCTAACCAAAAGCTATGGTACCAAAAGGTCAGCTAAAAGTAGCAAAAGGCTGGTTAAAAATTAAATGTAGCAAAAGGCTAGTTAATGTGCTTGCTAAAAGCTGAAGCAGCAAAAGGCCAACTAAAAGATGAATTGACAAAAGTTCAGCTAAAAGCCAAAATGGAAAAAGTTTAGCTAAAAGTTAAAATTGCATAAAGTCAGCTTAAAGCTAAAGTTACCAAAGTCTAGACAAAAACTAATTGTTGCAAAATGTTAGCTAACAAATAGAAAAGTTCTAACTCAAAACTAACATGGCAATGGGCTAAATTAAAAAATGGCAAAAGGCTAGCTAAAAGTATCTAAAATGAGCTAGAAGCTAAAAGCAGCACCTGTAGACCGAGGTCCAGAGTGATGGTTGAACACAGCTGGTTCTGTTTTTACAAGTCTTGCTGGTTTCATATGACACTGGTCTCGTACTCAAAAGTTTTTTTTCCCTGTGTGGTCTCCAGACTTTCTGCTGTCACCAAATAAACCCACCTGAGAGTTGGGAGGCCTGTTGGCCATCTGCTGTGTTTCCACCACGTGGTGGCGCTAGTTTACATTAATTATCCACATCTGCTTTATAACTTAAAAACAATTTTTTGCAGAGTTAAGCAAATAAACAGATTGTTTAAATTGTGATTTTTACGTTGAGTGTGACATTATTTCTAAACTGATGTGCAAAAGCAGAACCTTCACCACCACCACTGGTTGTGATGGTCAAAACAAACTATGAATTATAAAATATAAAGTTTTATTACGGTTGGTCGACAATCAAACCTTTTATATTATTAACAGAATATTTATCATAGACTGAGTGGAGAAGATGTGGTCCACCTGGAAGCTTCAGCCTTCCTTCTTTCAATGACTCAAAATCAGAGCTGTCCACCAGAGAAACACCTATCTCTGACAAGGTCCAGATGATCATAGAGAGCCTGAGGAGCAGCCAGTCCTCACTCGAGATGGACGACAACATCCAAGGACACGAATGTCATACCCACGTCCATATTTATCATAATCTAAAGAGTAGCAGTTGGAGAAAACATTCAGTGTTTGGGCTCATCATTTTATTGAAATACTGAAACACATAATATCTTTAGTGAAATAAAAGGATTTGAACATATTTTTTCTAAGTTAAATATTAATAAAACATTTATAAAATGTCTTTTATTCTCAGCTTTAACACTGAATCATTCTACTGATCATCCTGTTTTTTCCTCGTCTGAAATTTAAACCACCGTGGTGTGTTTCTGTCTCCCTTCCAGATTGAAGAATGTGATTACCGTTAGGCAGCAACTCTCTGATGTTCGAGGAACTCCAAACTTCAGTAGGATGTACTTGATGAACGTGCCTCCTGTCGCAGCGACACAGACTGAGTGGAGAAGATGTGGTCCACCTGGAAGCTTCAGCCTTACTTCTTTCAATGACTCAAAATCAGAGCTGTCTACCAGAGAAACACCTATCTCTGACAAGGTCCAGATGATCATAGAGAGCCTGAGGAGCAGCCAGTCCTCACTCGAGATGGACGACAACATCCAAGGACAGGAATGTCATACCCACGTCTTCAAGCCTCCTGTAGGTGCTTCCACAAGCTCCACAGAAAACCTGAAAACCCAGTTCTCTTCTACAAACCACCATAAGGGCAGTGGCTCGGACAGCGACGACTCTGTGGACAGAGGCATCGAAGAAGCAATACTCGAGTACCTGAAAGAAAAAGATGGTCACAAACACAAGCCTGAACATGGACCTGCTTTTCTCCAGACTTCACAAGGCTCGAGCAAAACCTGTCAGTTTCCAAATGTTTCCAAACACAGCTCTGAGAGCAGCACGTCCCTGGTTTCCATGAGCCATTTTCCAACAAGAGTCCAAGCTGAAGCTCCAACAGCAGCAGCTACTGGACCCTTAAAGAAATACATCAAAAACAAAGCTTCCAGAGATGAGAACTTTGATCTGAGTCAAAGTTTGGTCTGTTCAACGAGCTGCTCTGAACCCACTGGTCTCTTTAACAAAACAACATCACTCTTGAAGGAGGAGGAAGACTGTGGTGATTCCAGCAGTGATGACGGCATTGAGGAGGCTATCCAGAGATACCAGTTGGAGAAAAGAGAGCAGCTGAACAGGCAGGAAACCTTAAGTTTGCTAGACTGTGAGTCAGACTCATCTAGTGATGATGGAATCGAAGAAGCTATTCGCTCTTTTCAGCTGGAGCAAGTTCGAGAGAAGAGTGGCCAAAAAACATTTCTGCACAAGCAAATCCCCTCCATCAGGCCTTTAATGCATGCCACGAGTTTAGAAAACAGAAAGAGGCACAAACCGAAGAGGAAAAAGGTCCCAACAGAGAACCATCCTTCATCTGATGGCAAACCCAGTTCCTCACATCCAGACTTCCTCAAATACAAAGGTCCTCCAGTCTCTGCTCCTCCCAAAGTTAATACAACTGCTGAACTCATGTGCGCTGAAGCTATTCTGGACATTTCTAAAACAGTTCTGCCCACCACCTTCCATCATGGGGTCGGACTGAGCAGTCACAGTCCAACTGACACTCTCCTTCAAACTTCTCCCCACACCCTGCCACAGGAAGACAGCAGCTCCGTTGACAGTGAGGATGGAATTGAGCAGGAAATCAGGAAATTCCTGGAGCAGAAGGCCCAAATGCACAACGTGCAAGAAACAAAAGAGGTTTCAGTCCCAAAGAAACCACGAAAGTTATCTTTAACACAGAGAAGAAGAAAGAGGGAGAATAATCGTTGTGTCTCCAACATGTCTGGAACAGTAGACAGAGAAACTGATAAAAATTCTGAGGAGTCCACCTCTTCAGCTGTTACCCAGAGAAGTCCAAGCAGACCAACCACAGCGTCACACCAGCCAGACCAAAGTGAAGACAAAAGCAGCTCCCTGGACAGCGATGAAGACCTTGACACTGCAATAAAAGATCTGCTCAAGACAAAAAAGAAGACAAAGAAAAAGATCAGGGATGTGAAGAGGAAGCCCAGTAAGCACAGCAGAGTTGAAGATCCAATGTCAGGCAACACTGTTCCCATCAAGAAGTTCAGACTAGATCATGTTTCCAACTGTAGTGCTTTGAAAAGTGTCCACAAAGACAAGGACAGACCGAGTAATAAAACCAGTTCATACCTAAAGCCAGGTGAGGACGGTGGAGACAGCCAACCACTGTTCTCTGCTCCGATGGATGACAGCAGCTCTGTGGACAGTGACGACGGCATCGAACAGGAGATCCAGAAGTTCCTGGCTGAGAAGGCTAAAGTTTCCCCTGCAGACAAACTGAAAGATGGACATGTGTGCAGTAATGGGACATCCATGGTTCAACATGGACACATGAAACCTGAAAACATAAAGAAGGAAGCTCAGCTGGCTGAGATTATTCCACAACCAAAAGGTCTTCCGTCTGCATCTCCAAGTGGTCCAGCTGAAGATCAAACCCCACGCAGGCTCCTATCACATGTTTTTCTTGCCAGTCCACAGTCTTGTGTGTCCTCAGACCAGTCCTGCAGTCCCAGTCTTTTGGAACCAGCAGATGGGGCTGGGGCAGCCCAAAACCAGCTGAGGAGACCTAACCCTGGTGGAGACCTTGTTGTGCCCCCTCAGTCTGAGAAAAGTGGACCAGCTTTGAGTTCTGTCTCTGCTCAGTCCCAGGCAGAGTCCATCAAGTGGCGCCAGAGTCTGGGTCTCCCTCCATTTTCTGACAAAAGGGCCCCCACCCGGACTAAGTTTCACATCACCTCTTCAGAAAGTAAAGAGACCACCGTACAGACCCCTTCATACCAGAAAACAGACCTCAAAGTACAGACTCTGGCCAATGCTTGGTTTTCTTCGAGGACCATCCCAGCTTCATTCTCCTGTTCCTCAGAGACGCCTGTGAACATCCCAGTCAGAGCCCCAGTGGTAAAGTTCTGCTCTGCTGTCAGGCAGAACTCACTCATGACCTTTCCTCTGAGCCTTAGAGCCGGACACAGCTCCCAGTTCTCTTTAGGAGAGGACAGAGCCAGCATGGTCCATGTGCCCAAAGACAAGAGTGTGTTTGTAGAACTGGAGTCCAACAGGACCAACCATGTCCAGGTCCAGAGCAGGACCAACCAGGTCCAGAGCAGGACTAACCGTGTCCAGGTCCAGAGCAGGACCAACCAGGTCCAGAGCAGAGACTTGAGTGAAGGGAAAGAGAGGGGCAGATGTGATGAAGAGGTGCAAGAAGACAGACAGGATGAAGAGTTTGTAGATGAGGCAGATTGTGGGTCAGACAGCAGAACCGAACCAGAACAGAAGCAGGGCTTTTCCAATCTGTAAGTATTTGATTTATTGGTGGTTCTGTTTACTTTTTTATTGCATTCTTCTGATTAATGAAGTCTTTCAATCATTTAAAGGTTCTGAAGAAAAAACTACACATTTAGTGTCAAACTCAGCAGCTGCTTCATGACTTCTGTTTTCTTTATGCTCTAAACTTTAAACATTATCAAAATAAATAAAAAAACACATTAAAGTAAAAGGAGTTCGGACAGAAAATATATATTTTTTATCATAAAACTAACATCATATTGAGCTTAAATGTTGGATTGTTTTTAGTGTACCAGTAAAAAAAAAAAAAAAAAAAAAAAGTTAAATCATGTCGTCTGGACCACCAGTAATAAATGTTAATGAAACCAAACCTTACCTGAAACAGGACTCACTTTAGAGAAGATACAACTCTTACAACAAGTTTCATCTGAAGATGAACACTGTTTCAAATGATCAGTTTCAACGTTAAATAAAAAAAACATTTTTTTTTTTACATTTTCAAGTGCTTTCAGTAAAACAATACAAAGATTTTTTGGGGTAAAAAGAAACGTGTCCGTTTGATTTAAGTAATAAAATAAAATTCTCACTTTGTTCTGTAAAGAGAATGCACTTCTTTGAGTTAAAGCAGTTAATGATCTGATCCATCCAATAATAAACAGCTGAGTGAAACACAACTCTGCATTCTGACCTCATGAACTGATGAGACTGTCCAAACTAAGAGATGAACTGCACGTCTGAGGCTGTGAAGTCTTCCACTTTTATCTGAAACTTCTACATTTGCTTTGATTTTAGCCTTCCTCGGCTCTCCGGTTTGAGTCTGTGTGGTTCATGTCATCATGAAGATTCTCGTTAATCTGTCTCCCATTTTGATTTTGACTCAGTTAGCTGCTTTCTTCACTCGTATCTCTGACCCAGCCATGGGGATGTTAAAACATCTCATCTATCAAATATTTAATTACAAAGTTCATTTTATGGATTGAAGTCATGGGTTAGTTTAGTTGATGATAAATGCTACTAACAAGGACTTTAAGTGGAGATAAAGAAGTTTTGTGTTCCAGATTTTTCTAAAACTTTCTCTTCTTCTTTGTCTTAATGATTATTGTGTTCATGTTTTTGTTTCTGTGACTAAAGACTATTTATTTTTGTTTAATAAAAAAATTTAAAAAAATCACCGAACATGCTGTGCATTGAATTTTTTTCTTTTTGTATTTTTTTTTTTAATTTTTTTCTTTTATTCATTAAAACAAAACTGTTGCTGTATCTTTTCAGTGTGAAATAAAGAGTGGAGTCTGAGCAACTGTGTGTCTTCTCATTTATAATGCATGATTAATGAAACTATAATAAATGACATATTGGGGTTGAGGTTAAATCACAAACATCTGCCTCCTTCAGGTCTTTGTGCAGATCCATTGATCCAGGGGTCACCTTCAGTCCATGCATAGCTCTCACCTCAGGGGAGAGAAGCACCATGTTCAGCAGGGCCTACCAGCTGAAGAAGTTGAATAAGGTACAATTCTACAATGATAATCCAGGTTTAGTGTTGATGGTTTGAGTTATGCAGTGAGATGTGCTGTATGAAAGTGTGTTCTCTAACCTCGTCTCCAGATGTGCCCTTCTCTAAGAGACATTTCTGAGCAGGGCAGGAGCTTGCTGTGTGTCAAAAAGAAGCTTCAGTTTGATCCTGTCGGCAGGTATGGAAGTGCACAGATTCACTTAACTCAGTGAAAAGAAATTAAATGAATGTCTTGACAGTTTTTCTCCTTCACAGGATGGAAGCACACATCTAGAGTTGCATGACAACATTGTCCAGGCAAGAGTGTTTTTCATGTAATTCAGTGCTGTTTAGAAATTGTTTTACTTTGTTTACTTAATGTTTAAATGAAGTTTGTTGCAAAGTTTGATATCACTATCTGACAGAAATACTTATTTTATACATTTGCTTCTCAGCTACAAATTGGTTTGAGAAACATATAGTTTAAGGTGTAGGTTCTAATATATACAGTGAAAGGAAAATTAAGATGTTGGTTGTTATTTTTGTTGTTTGTTTGTTTGTTTGGCCAGTAATGGGCTTGTATTATTGGTAAGTTTCAGTTTTACCAGAGTTCCATTTTGTCTTTGTCTTTATTTTTTCTGGATGATCTACAAGTCACAAGAAAAATGCTATTTTTAGGATGCAATGTTTTGTTGGTGTATTAAATTCTTTTTATTTTAATAAATTGTTGCTAAATAAAAAATGGAATGATTAAATTTCGGGTTTCAATAAAGTTGTGAATTAAAAACGTGTGGCTTTGTGGGTCTTGTAGTTTGCAGCTGAAAATTTGTCGCGACACAACGTTTTACGGCTTTAGTTCTTTTTACGACTTACCACTACAAACACGCATGCGCAGTGTGTGCTGACCTCTAGCTTTGGCAGCATGGCGGTTCGTACGCTTTTAAAAGGTATGAAATAAATTGCTTAATCGTTCGAATTCGTGTTTTTGTCAGTGTAATGACTTATTTTAAACTTTTTGTTTTACTTTAAAACTGATCCGGTCGCTAACAATAAACCACCATATTCAGCTAATGGTACTGCTAAAGCTAACGGGTGTGTATGTTCAGGTGTTCGTCGGTTCCGACCCACGCTGAGTGGACAGCACTATGTTACTGCAGCGTCCATCGAACCCGCTCGGACCCAAACAGACGATGCTAGCGGTGAGTCACAGCCTGCATGTTTCATTATCTGTGTCACATCATGTCGGTGAATGTTCTCCATCTCCTCCATCCAGACAAGCTCTTCAAGCTGCCGCTGCAGAAACCGGATTTTTTCCGGGTGTCGGAACTCTTCTCCCTGAAAAATCTGTTCGATGCCAGAGTCCATCTGGGTCACAAAAACACCTGCAGGCACAGGTCGGTTCCAGAATGGAAAATTGATTTTAACATTTCCATCATATTACAGTTATATTGAAGGTTGTTGTGTGGGCAGCACGGTCCAAGGGTGTTTCTGGGTGGAGTTTGCATGTTTTCTCCGTGCATGCGTGGGTTTTCTCCGGGTGCTCCGGTTTCCTCCTACAGTCCAAAAACATGCATGTTAGGCTGATTGGTAACTCTAAATTGTCCCTAGGTGTGAGTGAGAGAGTGAATGGTTGTTTGTCTCGTTTGTCTCTATGTGGCCCTGTGATGGACTTGCGACCCGTCCAGGGTGTACCCCGCCTCTCGCACAGTGATTGCTGGACATGGGTACCAGCAACCCCCTTGACCCAAAATGGAATAAGCGGGTAAAGATAATGGATGGATGGATGGATGGATGAAGGTTGTTGTTTCTCCTGTGAGTTAACCTAAAGAAGGTTGCAGTGAACGTTTTAGTTTCTTCCCTGATGACGTTTTACGTCACAGATGTTGTTGAAGAGTTTTACAAAGATTACAGTAAAAGAGCAAGAGTGATTTGAAGGGTGGCAGGAAAGGATTAAACAGGGTGGTGAGACCAGCTAATGTTGTATGGTCTGGAGACAGAGACATGGACAAAAAGACAGACAGAACTGGAAATAGCAGAAATGAAGATGTTGAGGTTCTCCTTAGGAGTGACAAGGATGGAGAAGATTAGGAATGAGATCATCAGAGGTACAGCCCAGATTGAACAACTGGGAGATAAAGTCAATAGAGACCAGACTGAGATGGTTTGGACATGTCCAGAGGAGGGTCAGTGGTTTGGACATGTCCAGAGGAGGGTCAGTGGTTTGGACATGTCCAGAGGAGGGTCAGTGGGTATACTAGTAGAAATATGTTAGAAATGCAGCTGCCAGGAAAGGACATGGAGATGGAGACAGATGGAGAACCATACCATACCAATTTATTTATAGAGCACTTAAAACAGCAACAAGGCCAACCAAAGTGCTGTACAAAAGAAAACAAACATGCACAGCGGACAGGAAAACATAAAATAGAAATACAGAAACAAATAGCAGCAGAAGCTAACTAAAATGGCCAACAGTGTAGAGTACAGACCGGATCAAAACAAATCACAACGTGTTAAAGGCAAGAGAATAGAAGTGGGTCTTCAAGTGAGACTTAAAGACTGAGAGTGTGGGAGCCTGCCGGACACTCAGTGGCAACTCATTCCACAGTCGTGGACCTGCAACAGAGAAAGCCCTGTCACCCTGTCAGCTTACGACGGGTTTCTGGGACTGAGAGAAGCATCTGGTCTGCTGACCTCAGAGAGCGCGGTGGGACATATGGCTGCAGAAGATCAGTGAGATAGGATGGGGCGGAACTGTTCAGTGATTTGAAAACATACATGAGAATTTTGAATTGGATCCGAAGGTGAATGGGTAGCCAGTGCAGGGAGGCCAAAACTGGCGTGATGTGCTCTCTATAGCCTGTACCAGTTAAAAATCGGGCTGCAGCATTTTGGACCAGTTGTAGACGAGCAATGGAGGACTGACTGATTCCAAACAGAAATGAATTGCAGTAATCAAGCCTAGATGTTATGAAGGCGTGGATCACTGTCTCAAGGTTCTTTTTGGAGAGTATAGGCTTCAGCTTAGACAGCCGTCTCAGCTGAAAAAAACAGGATTTGACCATCATGTTTACGTGACTGTTGAGTTTTAAGGACGGATCCATTATCACCCCCAGATTAGTGACCTTTTGTTTCTCTAGCGGGGCTAGAGAGAAAAGGTCAATGTCATGGTTCATGAGTGAGCCACTGGGATGGAACAGCATGACTTCAGACTTCTTCTCATTGAAGCTTAAGAAGTTTAAAGCCATCCAGTCCCGGATGTCAGCCAGGCAGTCAAGAAGAGGCTGAATAGAGCGTGTGCCTCTGCGCCTCAGGGGGAAGTAAATTTGGCAATCATCGGCGTAGAAATGAAAGGGTACGTTGTGTTTGCGGAAGATAGCACCTAGTGGTAGCAGGTATAAAGAAATGAGAAGGGGACCGAGGATGGACCCCTGTGGTACCCCCCACTGGAGCGCTGTCGATGCCGAACTAAAGTCTTTGATATTGACACAGAAGGTTCTGTCAGATGAGATGAGCTACAGATGGAGACAGATGGAGAACAACTTGTTGTGGTGACCCCTGAAGAGAAAACAGCTGAAAGAAGAGGAAAAGAGTAGAAATATTAGGACTTGATTGTTTTTTGTTAGAGATGCTGCACCAATTCTGGTTTTTCACTTTTATCTGAACAGAATAAACCGACAGGCTCTACTTTTTATATGCCCATTGAAAGGTGCGTGTTAGGTAGTCTTCGTCCATCTGTACGTCAGTAAGTTTGTACTTTTTCTCTTGTTCCACTCATATCTTCTGATCTGCTCAAGATAATTGAACAAAACTTGATTACCACCACTAGACGGTGTGTTGTGTAATATTTTCATCAAGGTTGCAAATCAATGTCAAAGGTTATACAAGGTCTGTGTTGCTGCATATTAGTGCGTTGATGGTAGGAGTGTAAATGTACGCTAAAATCACATTTCAGTTTGGTTCAGTTTCAGGGAGGGCTCGGTTCGGTTAATTTTTGGTACAAAAAAAGACAATGAAGACTTACAAAATGCTTATTTTGAAAATATGCCAAGTAAACAATACGTTTGTATAAAAATAAATAAAAGTGACCCATTTGGATGATATTTTTAATAAACAGCACTCTTTACAATAAATAAACTATACTAACGATAATAAAAATCTTAATAAACACAATAACAGTCAGAACCAGAACAATAAGCAGCAACAGACTGTTTACAATCTAACTAATCAAGTTTTAAGTTTTTGGACAAAAAGACCAACTTGTCCACATTTTCTTCCAAAAGCACAGATCTAGTTGCAGTGAATACTCCAGCGGTGGAGGAAACCACTCACTAACAACAGTAGCAGGAACAGAGAGGTAGAGCTTTGCTAATTTTGCAGTGTGGCTGTATTTGGCCTCATTACTCATAACCTCTTCTTGGACCTGCTCCCACCTATCCCTGGAAAAGTTCAGAGTTCACTCATCACAGACTTCTTAGCTGGAGGTGATCTCTGGTGGATTTCCCTGAACAGGAAGACTCAGCTGCTATCTCTGTCCCAGAATGGAAATAAAACACAAATAAAAAATAAAAAAAGAGTTAATAAGATTATTAAAAATAAAAACATTAATTAGATAATAATAATAAAATAACAATACCTCTTTATGAACTGTCATCATTTGTTATGAGGTGCTTGAATCTCTTGATCATCATCATCAGGGCAGGGCTTTAATCTGGTCCAGGGCTTGTTGACAATATCAGTTTTATCTTTTTCATAAAGAGCTGCTACAACTTTTTGGCTGTAGTGTTGATGTGATGGATGTCGTAGCGGGGCTCAATAACTTTAAAACCAGCGCATCAACAACATTCGGACGTAGCTCCAAAGCTTTAAAAACTCCTACAGCTTGTGTTATTGCTCTGGACCGATTTGAATTACCTGAGAAAGGTTGTTTAAATGCTGCTGTCAGTCTTTGCAACAAGCTGCTAGAAGAGACTCCTAAACTAAACAGCCACTGGCCAAAAAGATGGCCCAGCACAGAAGATCAACATCATCAGGCCAGGATTCTGCGGTCTACACTCATCTCCAGGCCAGCGGTCACTCTTTCAAGGATGAAGATGTTCACATCCTGGACAGAGAGGAACGATGGTTTGAGAGAAGAGTAAAGGAGGCCATCTTTGTGAAAATAAATCGTCCATCATTAAACAGGGGTGGAGGCCTCCGGGTTCAACTGTCCCCCTCTTACAATGCTGTTATTGCTAGTATCACTCAGCCCTCTGTGAATAGTAAACAGCCATCAGTGTGCTAATGATCCATTGTTAGGCTGATGGTCCTTCTTGAGCATGTGATCAGCTGGTTTTGGTTGTCAGCAGCAAATTGGTTGATCCACTCTGAGAAGGTGCTATTTATAAGACTGAGCTGAATACAGCACCTCAGACTGAGGAAGTCTCTTGGATGAGAGACGAAACGTTTCTATATTTTTTTGCTTAGTTTTTTTTTTTGTTTGTTTGTTTTTTTTTTTTTTGAATGTCCAGAGGACCAGATTGAACTTTTTTTGGATTTTTCTACCTGGATTATTGAGCATGCATCAGGATGCTAGAAGAGACGTTCACGTTCGGATGTCGTCGTTTCAAGTGCGTTAACAAGTTAGACGTGTTGCTGCTGCAGATCCAATCTCCATGAAACAACGTCGACACACAGCTTTGGATTTGTTCACTTGTCTTTTAACAAGAAAGCCATAATGTTCCCAAACAGGAGATCGCAATGACATGCTAGGCTGCTAATGCTCCTCGTGCTGCAAGATAATAGCGCTGAAACACGCTTAGGAACTTTAGTTCTGCGTCGCATAATTTCTCGTTAATAAAATTTAATGAATTAAAAAATAACCGAAACGGTACGCACGTGGACCAAACCGAACACGCTGTACTAAAATGGTTCAATTACGCCCACGTACCGTTACACCCCTAGTTGATGGGTGTATGTGTGGTATGCTTGTTGATTTATTCGTGAGTAGTTGTCTACCTCTGAGTCATTCTGTTTGTTGTCTTGTTGTATTTTGGGGGCTTTATTAACGGTACTGTTCCTTCCAGGCTGATGGAACCGTACGTGTACGGCAGCCGTTTGGGCCATGACATCATAGATCTGGATCAAACTGTGGAGCACCTTCAGCTGGCTCTGAACTTCACGGCCCAAATTGCTTATCGTGGAGGTATCATACTCTTCATCAACCGCCAACGTCACTTTTGCCACCTCGTGGAGACAACTGCCAAGGACTGCGGGGAGTACGCTCACACGCGGTTCTGGCAGGGGGGTCTCCTGACCAATGCCAACGTCATGTTAGGCCAAGGGGTCCGCCTGCCTGACCTCATCATCTTCCTGTCCACTCTTAACAACGTCTTCCAGCAGCACGTGGCTATCAAAGAAGCAGCCAAGATGAACATCCCCATAGTCGGCGTGGTGGACACCAACTGCAACCCCAGCCTGGTGACGTACCCTGTGCCGGGGAACGATGACACTCCCGTCGCAATGGAGTTGTACTGTCGCTTGTTCAAGATGACCATCAACCGCGCCAAAGACAAAAGGAAACAGATGGAGCTCATTCACAGCTTGATGGCTCCGTGTGAGTCCTGATGAGCTGGAATGTGTTCTTTAAAAACCTGAAACTCTCGCATCACATCGTCCTCCATCCTCTGTCAGAACCATCTCACCTGGATTTAAAGCGTTATTTTCAAAGACACCTTAGAGTTCATGTTTCTCTAAATAAAATGATGGGTGGAAATTCTGTATAAAATGTAATTCTTTACAGTATGGCTGAGGTTTTTTTTCTCACTTTATTCATCAAAAATGTTTTCTTGTCTTCCCATAAAACATCAAAACTGCTCCTAAACTTTTTTTTACTGCTGTTAATTGATCAGCGTTCAACAGAGAAAATAAGTCTCGTTTAAATGGATGCGTTGAATAACATTCATATTAGAACTGATTTAAACCAAAACTTTTTTATTAAACCAGTCAAAACTGAAATAATTACATTTAAGGCTTTAATCAACATTAATGAGAACTGTAGAAATTGTATTTTTGTGTAAGTGCAGGGTGAACATTAAAAGAAATGAAGACTTGCTAAAAGCTTAAATGGAAAAAGAATAGCTGAAGAGAACTATAGTTTAAAGTAGCCAAATTACTAAGTATTTTAAATTCTTTTGGTATTGAAAATAAAATGTTTAAAGTAGCAGAATCATGGCTAAAATTAGCAAAAGGCTAGCTACAAGTAGCAGACATCTAAAAGTCATGAGTAGTGGTGCAAGAAGACAAAAACCAGTTTTCAATTTAAAAATAATGTTTTTAAAAGAACTGAAGGAAACAATGCATTTCTGTAAGAAAGTATTTAATAAAATTAAATCTAAAAGTTATAAACCACAATTAGCACTCATCTGAATGAGCTAAATGTTTTAACGATAGTCTAAATTTGCACAATGTGCAGAATTGCAAATGAAGTACATAAAAAAAGTGCTGATGCTGATTCAGCATTGCTTAAATGTTGAATCAGCATTAATAAAACTTAATGTGTACAGGTCTCGAATAGCATTAAAAACTTCTCAACTGATTTAAAAGCAGTTTTGTCAAACATTGTACTCTTATTTTTTAATTCTTACAACCTTTCTAGCTGACCAGTGATGAGATAAATTAATGCTATGAAGAAAACTTATTGTAATGTCAGAATTTTCCAACAACACAATGAATACATCAGTTAAAAAGTTAAATGATGCTAATTATTAGATTCAAATTAATAGTACAACTTTTTTTTTTTCCTTTTGGCTGTTTAAAGTTATTTATTTACAAAGGTAAATTTTGTTTGGATGTTTATTTTCACTTCTCTTTTCATCCTGATGCTTGTCCTGTTTTAAGATGGTAGTGATCCACTTTGGCTTTCTCAGACAAGCATTAACTCAACCTGCCAGAATTGAACTTCTGTTGAATTTCTCCTAACTGGGCTCACTCAAAAGCTATCTACAACAGGTGAGATACTGATTATAACTTTCATATATATATATATATATATAGGGATTTTTATTTATTTTATATTTTCTTTTATCTTTTTTTTTTATTTTTTTTATTTTGTAAATTTTTGCAGCAGAGCTAGTTAAATATGTCTCTGGAAGGTTCGGTTCTGGAGAGTACCACGTTCTCAGAGCGGTGGTTTTCTGTCGTCAGACACAGTGCGCATGCGCCTAAATGAGCGCAGGTTAAACGCGAGGGTGCGTTTCTGGTTCTGGAGCCTCTGATGGTTCTGTGGTTCCTCACCCAAATCATTCGTACCCGATCTGTCGACTGCGGCACCGCGAGGACCGGAGTTTTACCCTCGGACCGGGTTAGCTGATTCCATATGCAGATGATTTTTCGAACCGGTCTACACTGAAACGGATCCATTTCAACGCATTCCGGATTATTTGTGAAAATAACGGATCGTTTTTGTTAAAGATGCGGCCCGTTCTGCTTGTTATGAACGGAACAGGTAATAAATGAGCGTGTTTGGGTCTGCGATGATGAAGATGGTAGAGTGACGGATGGCGGATGTGATGAAGATCTCCGGTTCGTCGCTCCAGTTCTGAATCACCATGGCCCGGTCCGTGAGGAGACTGCTCCATCTGGTGCTGTTCTGGCCTCTGTCTAAAGGCCTGCAGGTAGGTGACAGAACGGTACCAGGATGGTTGTAGGTGTCACCCACAGAACCGCAAATGAATGAATGAATGGATGGATGGATGGATGGATGGAGAGTGAGTGAGTGAGTGAGTGAGTGAGTGAGTGAGTGAGTGAGTGAG